TCTCAACAGATAAATTTTCTATTAGAATTTAATACTATACTTGATGAAGATTTTTTTTAATGTTTGTCCAAAATTGAGTCTTGTAGTAGGGAACAAATTTCTTAAAGACAAGGGGGAGGGTGTCAATTCTTGTCAATTCTGTCATTTAAATAGCTAGAACTGACATTAGTAGGTGGTTTGGTGTTTGGAATTTCTTGCATCATTCCTTTGTGTACTCGTTTTGTATGCATGCATGTGGGTACATGTACACTGCTACAGCATGAGTGTGGAAATTAGAAGACAAATCATAGAAGTCTATACTCTCACTCAACCATATACATTTCCAAGGATCAAACTCAGTCTTGGTGGCAAGCATCTTTACCAGCCGAACCATCAACCCCTCTAGTCAGTGCCGGCATTAGAGGCTTTACCGTTTCAGTCAGCTGAGGTAGTTTTATTTTTAAATAATTTATTGACTTTTATTTTGTGTGCATTAGTGTTTTGCCTGCATGTATGTCTGTGTAAGGGTATTAGTTCCTGGAGCTGTCATGTGAGCGATAAGAATTGAACCCGGGTTCTCTGGAAGAGAAGTCAGTGCTCTTAACCACTGAGCCATCTCTCCAGTTTCCCAGATGAGTTTTTTACACTTCACCTTAAGTTTGGCTACTCTCTCGGCACCTTATCTCATAGAGTGGACCCAGTCATCCAAAAGACAAAGAACACAGACAGCTTCAGTTCCTCTTAGATTACAAATACTCTAGAAAAGAATTGAAATAATTTTCTCAAAGTGAATTTTTCCTTAAACATAACATTCCTCAATTTACATCTACTAAAATCCTTGAATAATATGATCTAACAGCAACAATGAACAAGAATAGATGTATTTTAAAAATTCATTTCCGCTGTGCAGTGGTGGCACACACCTTTAATCCCAGCACTTGCCTACAAAGTGAGTTCCAGGACAGCCAGGACTGATACAGAGAAAACCTGTTTCGAAAAATGAACAACAACAAAAAATTTCCATTCTAACACTATTTGGCATTAAGACCTACAAAGTAGTCATGTGTAATAGGCCTCCACCATACAAAGGTTCTATGAATCATTACTGCCTTTTATAACAGGCAGGTTTCTCTTTCTGAAAATTAGTCAGTTTAACTGAAATAAGTACTACTTCCTCAGCAGTTAAGATTTATAATTCCTAATTCTATCGTGATTGTTTTTATGACCTAATTTTTACTTTAAGAATCAAAAACACAGCATTCATCTCTCTCTGCTCCTAAATGCAGACACATTGGAACCAACTGCCTTCCAATCCCACCACAATGCCTTTCCCACCATGATGAATCACACTCTCAAACCAGAAGCCAAAATAAATCGTTCCTCCTTGAAATTGCTTCTTGTAAGAAATTTGGTTCCCACAACTAAGTAACTAACACAGTAAATTACTACCAAGGAATGGCACTGTTGATGTAATAAACTTGACCATGTGGTCTCTGGCATTTGGAACTGATTTGCAAAAATAATGTGGAGAAGTTTGAAGCAGGATTGATGCTAAAGAAGCCCTAAAATGTAAACCAAGATTAATGGTCCATTCTGGTAAGAGTTCGGAAGACCCAGATGCCAATAGAAATGCAGACAGTAAAGGCCTGATTCAAACAGTTTCAGAGGAAACGAAAACTATCAGAAACTGGGCTAAGGTCCACTCAAATTCTGACAAAAATATTTCTTGTGTTCTGCCTGTGTTCTACAAACTTAGGGTGATTTTGAAAGGAACAGACTAAGCTGTTGGGCAGAAGAAATTTCAAGATCACATAACATATAGACTGACTGCTCGTTCTCAGATTTACAGTGAAAGAGAGCAGAACTATATTTATATGTATATATATTATAAATATATATATTTCTTAAATATATTCACTGAAGCAGAGAAAGGAACATGAGTGAATTTAAAGTTACAGACAAAGTGAGAGTAGAGGAAGTAGGTGCGGTTATAAAAGTGATTAATTCCACTAAGGGAAAACCTCACACTTGAACAATAGGAAAAGTTCCTTGAGGACAAGACCTTATTATCTAAGGCCCCAAGTGCTTGCAAATATACATTTTGTAAGGGAGGACTGAAATGAAACTGGAAATAAAGGAACTCAGAAACAGCTATCTAGCTAGGGAAATGGTTTCCCAGGTTCAGCTGTGAAAGAACAGAAGCATTACAGCCATGGATGAGCCACACCTTGTCCTTGCAACAGAACATGGCAGTGCTGTCAGTGTAGCTTACAGACACACAAGAGTCAAATGTGGTAGTGTTGTAGAGGCTTACACCAAGATGCTAGAATGACACTGAAGCTTGACAGTATATAGTGGGTTGGACTGCCTGAAAAGGGACCTTAAAAAGCCAAAGCATGAAGCTACAAAGGCAGAAAGTGAGTTGGAATGGAGACACCAGGACGTAGAAAATGCCAGAACTGTGAGACTTCGATTGAGGGAAAACTATAGGCAAAGAGCACAGCTGACCTGAGAGAGAATCTAGTAACACAGTTGTTGGAGTCCAAATGATTCCATAACAAGCCAGCAAACAAATGGAACTGTAACATTTGGTGTTTGCCCCAGTGGATTTCAATATTACTTTGGTCCATCTTTACATATTGTGTTCAAGGGATTTTACAGTTAGGAGTTCATATTTGTCTATGTCTGTGTGTGTGCGCATGTTGGGGCAGGAGGACAACTGTCAGGAGTTGGGTCCCTCCCTCTACCATTAATAATCCTGGGGCTCAAACTCAGGCTGCCAGGCTTTGCAGCAGGTGCCTTTGTCCACTGAGCAACCTTGCCGCTTGGACTAATGGCTTGTGAGCAATATTAGAACCATTGAGATTTCTGGTCATAAGTATAGATAAAGCAAAGGTATCTTGTATTATGAGACATCCATAAGCCTTTGAAGAACAAGGTAGAATGTTAAAAGTTTAAGTGATAAACTGACAAGAAGGTAGAAATGTGATAGTTAATCTTTATTGTCAATGTGATTGGATTTACAGCCATGTTTGTGAGGACATTCTCAAACAGGTTTAGCTGAAAACTCTACCCACAGGCTAACACTGCAGACTGAATAAGAAGGAAAAAGTAAGAAAAAAGAATGTTTTTAAAATGGAAAGAAAGCAAAGCATCAACCCTCATTTCTAGCAGCTCCCTGACTGAAACTGCAACATGACCAACACTCTCCTACTCCCCTTGCTCCCTGCTATGGAGACAGTGTTCTCAAGCTGTGAGCCAAGATGCAAACTTTCACACCTTATGGATAAAGGAAAGGAAAAGTATCTCATTTCATTTTTAAAATTTTTTTTAAAAAAATTGTCCTTAATGTACAAGTCTAATTCAGCATACACTTAGAAACAAAGTTTAAAAGTCATATAGAATTTTAAAAACAAGGATATTTATCTCCATTATTAAAAAATAAAATAAAATAAAATAAAAGCAGAGAAACGAGCCAGTAGGATAAACTTTTAATTCTGAGGCAGGATGATTAGGAGTGCAAAGGCTGTAGAGACCCAGACTCAAATAAAGGAGGTGGGCTGCGGGAATGACTTCGTGACTTAGTGCTTCCTGCACAAGGACGAGGATCTGAGTGTGGGACCCTGGCACTCATGAGAAAGGTAGGAATTGTGACACATCTGTCACTCTCCTGGGGACAGAGATGGGGAGATCACTGGCTAGCAGACTTTTCTCAAACTGGGGAGCCCCAGGTTTAGTGAGAGCTTTCCTTGTCTCTAAAACATAAAGTCATCACTCAGGCAGTGGTAGTGCACACCTTTTATCCCAGGACTCGGGAGGCAGAAACACCATGTCTGCCTGCATACCACCATGCTTCCCACCATGATGATAATGAACTAAACATCTTAACTGTAAGCCAGTCCCAATGAAATGTCTTCCTTTATAAGATTTGCTGTAGTCACAGTGTCTCCTCACAGAAATAGAGCAATGACTAAGACAACAATGAGCTTCATTAAGAAGTACAGTTGAAAGTTGGGGCCACAGTATGCAAGAACTGGCTTCCATGCTAATTAGGGATAGGCTCAAACAGATGAGCTGAAGCTGGGGGTTCATAGAAATGTTGAGTAACAGACAAGGTCTCAAAGACAGTCTGGAGGTCACTGGAAAGAGTGATTGTCCAAATGGAAGGGACAGAGTCTTTCTACCACTGTGACCAAGAAGAAGGGGCAATATTCAGTAAAAGTTGTCGATTTGGAAAATAAACAAGGGTCTTGGCTAATAATTTCTGTGCCTTCTGTTTTAAAGCAGGTGATAAGGAGAGTGTAGAAGCTGATGTTGGTATAGGAGATAATTAACTCTGTCAGCAAAATGCTTGTCATGCAAGCATGGAAACCTGGTTTCAATCCCCAGAACTCAAAAAAAAAAAAAAAAAAGAAAGAAAGAAAGAAAAAAAAGAAGAGAAAAAAAGAGAAGAGAAAAGAAAAGTCAGACATATTTCACACGTTTGTAATCCCAGCACTGTAGTGGCAGTGACAGGAAGGTCCCTGAGACTCACTGACTAGTCAACCTAACATATCAGTGATTTCTAGACCAAGAAGTGACCTGGTTGCCCAAAAAGTAAGGTGGATAATGCCTGAGGAATGGTACCTGAAGTTGGCCTCTGGTTTGCAAACCTGTAAATGTGAATTCATACTCCAATGTGCACGTTACAGACATCTATAAACACGAACAATCTGGAGGCTGAAGAATTAAAGTGGGAAAGAGAATGATAATAATGATTGGTGAGCCTTTTGATCATCACTCCCAAGGTAACATTATTGAAACTACAGGCACAGACGAAACAAAAAGGGCAGATTCAGACAGAAATGGCATCAGAGACCTTGGCCAAATCATGACAGCAGGCTCCTTCTGAATGAAGGAGGCTAATCTGTAAATTTGCCTGCATTCTGCTGACTGTAGAGCACACAAAGACTCCAGGTGACACAGTCAAGGGTGTACTAGCTCCTTGAGAAATTCCAAAGCAGTTGGCAGAATGACAGTTGGTGGGTTGGTTGGGTCAAAGGCTCCCAGTACAGCAGAAAGACAGGTACAAGGGACTCTGAGCGGTGACCCAGCAGCAGAACAACCTAACTGCCAAAAAATTACTTAGAAGTAAGTCTTTTGAACAGAATTAAGCCTCAGGAGTTTTTTTTGCTGTTGTTGATGGTTGAAGACAGGGTTTCTCTGTAACAGTCCTAGCTGTCCAGGAACTAGCTCTGTAGACCAGGATCGCCTTGAACTCACAGAGAGCTGCTTTTGCCTTTGCTTCCTGAGTGCTGGGATTAAAGGTGTACACCATCACTGCCCAGTCTCAGGGTTTTTTTTTTCCCCAACATACTATTTGTATTGATTATTTGAGAATTTCATATAATGCACCCTGAATACACTCACTTCCCAGTCCTCCTAGGTCCACCCTGTCATCCTTGCGACCCCCCCCACTTCACAAAAAGGAAGAAAAAGAAATTATATAAACAAAGTCGAATTTGTGTTGTCCATATACTCATTGGACCATGGTCAAACTCACAGTGATAAACCCTTAAAGAAATTTAGATTTCAGTTTTCTTAACTAAAACACAAGAATAAGTATATCCGGTCTATAACTGTCGGTTTCTAGTAAAGAGCCTAGCACACAAGTGCTTACCCAACGCCTTCACGTTCCCTTGTCCTCATCTATTCCTTTGGCCCTTCTTGATCATCCACCCCCTTGGCCAGAGCCATCAGCGAGTGTTGTGCCCATCAGCTCACTCTGGAGGTACCTCCTGCTGCTTGCACTTGAATAGTGGTAATGCTCATAAAGTGCACATAGACAGACTTAAATGGAATAAAAACTACAAATCTGAATAGTACAAAGCAAATTGGTAATCTTCAAAGAGAAAGGGCAATTAATATTTCGTGGGAACAGAGTTTCAGTATGAGAATATAAGATCACTTATTCGGCTCTTCCTGTAAGCGGCCAGAGGTGACCCGTGAAGATGGTTCGCTACTCTCTTGACCCGGAAAACCCTACAAAATCATGCAAATCGAGAGGATCTAACCTTCGGGTTCACTTTAAGAACACCCGTGAAACGGCCCAGGACATCAAGGGTATGCATATCCGAAAAGCCACCAAGTATCTGAAAGATTTCACTTTGAAGAAGCAGTGTGTGCCATTCCGACGGTACAATGGTGGAGTCAGTAGGTGCGCCCAGGCCAAACAGTGGGGCTGGACACAGGGTCGTTGGCCAAAAAAGAGTGCGGAATTTTTGTTGCACATGCTAAAAAATGCAGAGAGCAATGCTGAACTGAAGGGTTTAGATGTAGACTCTCTGGTCATTGAGCACATCCAGGTGAACAAAGCCCCTAAGATGCGCCGAAGAACTTACAGAGCTCATGGCCGGATTAACCCATACATGAGCTCTCCCTGCCACATTGAGATGATCCTCACTGAAAAGGAACAGATTGTTCCAAAGCCAGAAGAGGAGGTTGCACAGAAGAAAAAGATATCCCAGAAGAAACTGAAGAAACAAAAACTTCTGGCACGGGAATAAATTCAACATGAAATAAATGCAGATAAAAGTTAAAAAAAAAAAAAAGATCACTTATTCAATGAGTAGGGTTGACGTTATGTAATTTTCGGTTTCTTGAGACAAGGTTTCTCTGTGTTTCTCTGTGTAACTGCTGTGGCTATCCATGGAACTGGCTCATATAGACCAGGCTGGTTTTAAACTCACTGAGATCCTCCTGCCTCAGCCACTCGAGAACTGGGATTAAAGGCATGCGCTACCACCACCAGTTTCAACAAAAGAATTTATACTAGGAATATTTTACCATAATAAAAACTTCAAAGCATATTGTAAGCTTAAATGGTTGGTCACCATCATATAAAAGAGTATGTATAAGATAAAGCTGTAAAAAGCCTATTCCTATAGTTCTAGCCCTCCAGAGGCTGAGGCAGAACAACGAATTCAAGGCTAGCCTGGGCTACACTGTGAGACCATGTATAATTTCAAGATAAATATAAAGAGCTCAGAGAGATTACTATCTATCATGTGAGGGCCTGGGTTTTATGCCTAGTAAAGCACAAGCACATAAGCACACACGCATGTGTGCACATGAGCAAGCACGCGTACGCGCGTATACACATCTGCGCACACACACACACACACACACACACCCCACAGAAGCGGAGTACAGACAGAGAAAAAGATAAACACCTAAATTATCTTCCAAAGAACAAATGCATAGATGGTTCACCTAACCTACTAGCACAAAGCTCACATGGTACCTATGGTCTGCAAACTGTCACTGCTAACATTAAAATTATGGGGGCAGCTGTACCTCAAGCACTGCACAGAGATCAGGGTGAACATAACTCACATGTCTTGTGAGCTTAGTAGTCAGAAATGCAAAGATGTGTTATTTTCTTCTTAGTACTGGGAAATTTCCTGGCAAAGGGACAAAGTACAAAAATTTCCATAATAAACCTGAAAAGAACAGACACAATGGGAATTTTTTATGTTATTAGGTCCACATTATGTTGATATGCCATCCTGGATAATATGGGCTTATAAATGATGGGTTTACATCCCAGAGCACTCCATAATCTAGCAAGAAAATGAGACACTACATTTGTAACTTTTATATAGCAGGACTGATTAATGGCCAGAGACCTAGGCTGAACTGGAGAGATAAGAACTGCATTATGGGAAAGCAGTGAGTGCTTGCAGAAAGGAGTTCAACTGGCAAGAATGTGAGAGATCCTAACTGATCTACAACCTGAGCAGGTGCTGGGCTGCATGAATGTGGTTAGACTGTTCACAGCTTCTCACTTTCTGATCCCAACTGCTGTTTGTTTTGCTTTCCTTCCTAGGGTGCTGTCAAGAGCTCTGATCTCTGTTCAATCAGTGTCCGAGAATCAGAAGACATGGAGTCTGCATTGATGATTGGAGTAATTCCTGTGCTGTACTCAATGGCGAGTGACAAATCTGGCTACTATACTGGGCGGACACTGTGGTTAGGACTAATCTCAGTATACAGCATGGTGGTGTATGTGGTCCGGCTGCCATGGTACCGCATCTACGATGATTTCAAATGCCATGAAAATATCACCTACCCTTGTCTTACGGAGTGTTTTGAACAGCTGTTTAGCATTCCCATTTCAGAAATGTGGGGCTACTGCTACTTCCTCTTCATACTCTTGTTCTTCCTCATGGAATACTTCATGGCTCAGATTCGGCATAATTACACCAAGGTAAAGATGGAGACCATGCAGCAACCTGAGAACTCAGAGGAAGTGGAGAAGGGCTCCATGGAGGCAATCAGGAAGCAGAGCCCCTCCCAGAAGATCGCCCTTCTGAAGTTCCACCAGGAGAAGAAGCTCTTATATCTATACCTGCTCCACTTCCTCCTGCAGGTTGGCCTCCAGACTGTGCTTCTATGCCTGCTCACATTCAAACACCTGCCTGTGATAAGCCAAAACAACTTCTATTGTAGCACCAATGACTGCCCTGGCCCCTATCATTGTCTCATCTGGGAAGTCTCTGAGAAGTGGCTGTCCATCTACACCCTCAGCACCTTTTCAGCCATAATCATCCTCCTCGGCATAGGCTCCTTTGTATACGGCATCTACCATTACTTGCTGAGGGCCCGCTCAGTTTCCAAGAGTTGGATTTCTTGACATTTATGAGGAACAATACTTTTCTTAAGTCTTTTCTACCCCATAACGGGTAGTTTTGGTTCCTCCAAATTTGTGGTGGGGGGGGAGGGGGAGAGAGAGAAGAGTCTCCTCTTGCAGACTTTCTTTGGATTTTGATTTGAAAACAATAAAAGTTTGCTGCCCTCCCTTTTCTGTTCTGAGGCCAGCCTGGGATAATCTAATTCTGGAAGCAAAATCAAACCAAACAAAGTCTAATAACTGACTATCAGGAATTAGTACACAATAACTCATTCCTTTCACACTGTCACCTATAAAGTGATGTGCTCACCTTTACCTGAGGTCTAAAAAGACAGGTGGCTAGTGAAGAAAACCTGCAGTCAGCAAGGAAAGTCAACTTTAAACTGAGGTCTCTCAGTGCCCTACTGTGCACTTCCTTGAAGTCATTCGCTGTGTGGCTAAGAAGCAGACCTTGTTTGTACTGTGAATTATACTAAAGAAAGAAGCAAGGAAAAAAGTGAGGGCACTGTGCCAGGAGGTAGGGATGCACTTCTAAGGTCACAGTTGTACGTTCTTTCTGTCTAGTCAGAGACAAAAGATCTAGGAAGCTAAATCCAAGTGAGTGGTACATAAACGGAAAGTGACCATCAGGGAAAAGGACTGAGATACAGGGTAAACAGGGCATGTTGGACAAGACTTCCCAACAATTTTCAAGTAATATTCCATAACACACAAGGCTGGCTCTACAGGGTAACCAATTCATATTCAATAAAGGGGCAGACCTGGAGAGTGGATTCAGTGATTGAACTTCAGGAGACCACAGAGCAAATAGGAGGGGAAGAGTAGAAGCAGGAAAATGGCAGCAGAGACACTGGGCATGAGCTGGTGTGAAAAGTCAGACATGTTCCCATGTCAACTTCACCCAAGGGTTTGTACAAGGGTATGCTATATTGTACAAAGTTGTCCTGTACTAATTTTCTAACAATGATGAATGTATTAACTCAGCATGCTGGGCTCTTAATGTGGGCCAAGTCCTGGAGCATATATAATATTGATGCCCTGAAGAAGTAAACATGAGAGCAGTGGTTCTCAACCTTCCTAATGCTGTGGATCTTTAGTATAGTTCCTCATGTTGTGGTGACCTACAACCATAAAACTGATTGAGAATCATATGTACATGATGAGAACCAGAAATTAACTGATTTGATGAAACTGTTAAAAACTATTCACAGGTGAAGAAATTCAGACTACAAAAGACAGTGATATCTAGACTTGAAATCATTGAAGAACTTATCAGAACTGATAAGTAAGGAGATGAGGCACAAACAAAGACAATAATAAACAATTAACATCACAAGTACCTCTCAGACACAGAGATGATTTACCAAGAGTTTTAGCTACTTATCCTGTTACTATTTCTGAATTTCTAGTAAATAGTAAATATTCAAAAGGATATATACAATGCAAATGGGAAACTATATGCATAAAATATCTAAAAGATATTAAACAAGCAGTAGTATCTTACAACATGAATTCACCATACTGAGGCAATTGATAAAGACATGAGCTTCAAAAAACAAGGTTATATCACATGATTGGATTCAATTATTAGTCTCAGTTGTATTAGAAGATGGTCCACCACTACGGGGGAAGAGCTAAAGGAGAGAGGAAGCTAAGGTCCTTGAACATCAAGGCAGAGTCCATGGTTCTGAAGCTTCCCAAGGTCAAATTACTGGGGAGGGACCTTACATTGATCCAGATAGTCAAGCTATATACAATGAACACATTTTGCCCCTATGTCATACAGCAGCCTCAAATGTTTGTTGCAAGATTCAAGAACCATGAAAAAGAACTGAATCTTATCCTAAGGTTATACAAGGCCCAAGAGAACCCTTTCTGACTTTTTGCAAAGATTAACTAAAACTATACAAATAGGGGTAGCATGCGCTTGGATTGGGAGGAACAACTTAGTAAAAATGGCAATTCTACCAAAAGCAATCTATAGATTCAATGCAATCCCCATCAAAATCCCAGCAAAATTCTTCACAGACCTTGAGAGAACAATAATCAAGTTTATATGGCAAAACAAAAAACCCAGGATAGCCAAAACAATCAAATACAATAAAAGTACTTCCGGAGGCATGACCATCCCTGACTTGAAACTCTATTACAGAGCTACAGTAATGAAAACTGCTTGGTATTGGCACAAAAACAGAGATGTTGACCAATGGAATCAAATCGAAGACCCAGATCTTAATCCACAAACCTATGAGCACCTGATTTTCAACAAAGGAGCTAAAACTATACAATGGAAGAAAGAAAGCATCTTTAACAAATGGTGCTGGCATAACTGAATGTCAACCTGTAGAAGAATGAAAATAGATCCATATCTATCACCATGCACAAAACTCAAGTCCAAATGGATTAAAGACCTTAATATTAATCTGACCACATTGAACCTGATAGAAGAGAAAGTGGGAAGTAGTCTACAAGACATGGGCACAGGAGACCACTTCCTATGTAGAACCCCAGGAGCACAGACAATAAGAGAAACAATGAATAAATGGGACCTCTTGAAACTGAGAAGCTTCTGTAAAGCAAAGGACACTGTCAGTAAGACAAAAAGGCAACCTACTGATTGGGAGAAAATCTTCACCAACCCCTCATCAGACAAAGGTCTGATCTCCAAAATATGCAAAGAACTCAAGAAACTAGACAATAAAACTCTAATTAACCCAATTAAAAAATGGGGTACTGAACTGAACAGAGAATTCACAACAGAAGAACTTTGAATGGCCAAAAGACACTTAAGGACATGCTCAACCTCCTTAGCGATCAGGGAAGTGCAAATCAAAACAACTTTAAGATACCATCTTACACCTGTCAGAATAGCTAAACTCAAAAACACCAATGATAGCCTATGCTGGAGAGGATGTGGAGTGAGGGGAACACTCATCCATTGTTGATGGGAATGCAAACTTGTGCAGCCACTCTGAAAATCAGTGTGGCGGTTTCTCAGGAAACTGGGAGTCAACCTACCTCAGGATCTAGCAATTCCACTCTTGGGAATATACTCAAGAGATGCCCTATCATAATGCAAAATCATTTGTTCAACTATGTTCATAGTAGCACTATTTGTAATAGCCAGAACATGGAAACAACCTAGGTGCCCCTCAATAGAAGAATAGTTAAAGAAGGTGTGGAACATATACACATTGGAGTTTTACTCAGCAGTAAAAAACATTGACATCTTGAATTTTGCATGCAAATGGATGGAAATAGAAAATGCTTTACTGAATGAGGTAACCCAGACCCAAAAAGAGGAATATGGTATGTACTCACTCATAAGTGGATTCTAGCCATAATTAAAGGACATTGAGCCTATAATTTGTGATCCTAGAGAAACTAAATAAGAAGGTGAACCCAAAGAAAATCATATAGTTATCCTCCTGGATATTGGAAGTAGACAAGATTGTCAGGCAAAACTTGGGTGCATGGGGGTATTGGGGGAGTGGATGTAAGGGGAGATGGGGAGAGAGAAGGGAGAAGGAGAGGATTGGGGATAGCTCGGGGGAATTGGATGGGTGGGATGGAGGAAGGGTGGATATGGGAGCAGGGAAGTAGATATCTTAATTAAGGGAGCCGTTTGGCAAGAGACTTGTCTCTAGAGGGGTTCCCAGGTCCAAGGAGAGGTCCCCAGATTGTTTCTTGGTCAGCAGAAGAGAGGGTACCTGAACTGACCTTGTCCCATAGCCACACTGATGAGTATCTTGCATATCACCAAAGAACCTTCATCTGGCGATGGATAGAGACAGAGACAGAGGCCCACATTGGAGCACTGGACTTAGCTCCCAAGGTCCAAATGAGGAGCAGAAGGAGGGAGAACATGAGCAAGGAAGTCAGGACCACGAGTGGTGCGTCCACCCACTGAGACGGTGGGACTGATCTAATGGAAGCTCACCAAGGCCAGCTGGACTGGGAGTGATGGAGCATGGGAACAAAATGGACACTCTGAATGTAGCTGTCAATAAAGGCTGACTGAGAAGCCAAGGACAATGGCACTGGGTTTTTATTCTACAGCATGAACTGACTTTGTGGGAGCCTGGTTTGTTTGGATGTTCACCTTTATAGACCTGGATGGAGTGGGGAGGACCTTGGACTTCCCACGGGGCAGGGAACCCTGACTGCTCTTTGGACTGGAGAGGGAGAGGGAGGTGGGGAGGGAGAGAGAAAAGGAAGGCGGGGAGGAGGTGGAAATTTTTGATAAATAAATAAATAAATGGGCAGAAATCTTTATGGACCTGAATATCAAAAAAAAAAAAAAGATGTAAGAGTTAATAAAAAGCCTGAGGTAATAGGCCGGAAAAAAAAACAACAAATAGGGGTTGCATATCCAGAAGTTAGCAAGTACTCATTGAATCTGGCTTTTGAACATGCTAATTTAGAATGCAAAAAGATACTTGGGGCACTAAAGGTCAGATTAGCAACAATGAACTAACAGATCCTACACACAGCCAAGGTTGAGTTCTTGAACTATAACACTGAGGGTAGGAGAACTAATTTTCAAAGTTATGAAGAGACATCAAAATACTAAATGGTTAAAGTGCGATAGAATAGGCCATTTGAGAAGGGATTGTAGTCAGTGCTTTCCTAGATATAATGTTTCTTCTGGGAATGACCCAATTAGAAGCCCAAACTTCTAGATTATGCATAAGATGCAGCAAAGGCTGACATTGGACCAATGAATGTAGATCAAAAAGAGACAAACAAGGCAACCCATTACCATGGGAAAACTCCTTGAGAGGGCCTCACACAGACCCCCAGGTCAAAAGTGGTCCGGTCATTCCCAGTCACTGTAGAAGACACACCTTTCCAGGAAAATTAGAAAATTCAATGCCTGTTAAAAAACAACAACAACAAAAACAACAAACAAAAAACAAACAAACAAAAAAAAACCATGCTGCTCTGGATACCATGCTGCTCTGGATGATGCACAACCCATGGATGATAAATCAAAAATTCTAATACAAAATAGAAAACTTATATTTTACATACTTCTATAAATGACAAAAGGCCAAAGCAGAGAGTATGAATAAATAACACTATAATGGAAGGATTA